GGCAGGGGGGGGGGGTATACACGAGCGGGGGGCTTTTCAGGGGACGAGGTGGTGTGCCGCTGGCTCTGCTGCTGTGTGTGTGAACATGACGCTAGCGGGCTAGTTGAACACACAACACAACCTACACCCCAGCACTGGTAGTTTGGTGGAGGTAGCGATGAGGACCTGTCGCGGCTTGTTGCTCGTCTTCCTTGCTGGCCCGTACTTGGCGTGCCTGGCGGACGAAGGGGCATCGATCCCACCAGCGACGGCAGCAACAGCAGCGGCAGCAGACGCTGCCGAGGATGAGGTGTTCTCCAAGCTAGCGGAGGCGGAACAGGCGGCGAACGCCGCTGCGGCCGCTGCCCAGAGGGCAGCAGCCAGCCTAGAGGATATGGAGAACCGTGCGCAGGAGGAGGAGGGGCAGGAGGAGAATGAGGGCTCGGAAGAACGAGTAGATTCAAGTGATGATCATGTAGATGGCGGTGGGGCAGCAGCCGAGCACGACAAGGCTGCGCTTGAGGCAGCAGACGCAGCGGCGGCAGCAGCAGCAGCAGCAGCAGCAGCAGCAGACGCAGCAGCAGCAGTAGCAGAAGACACTGCAGCTTCCACAGCAGAGGGAATCGTCGACGAAGACGACGACTTGGTGGATTCGGCAGCGGCGGCAGCAGAGAGGGTACTTGGGGATGAAGACGGCGGCGGCGGCGGGGGCTTTGACGCGGAGAAGTGGAAACGTGCGGCTGGACAGCAATGGGAGAAGGTGACGGGACGAGTGGACGGGTTCATCGACGGCTGGCGGAGGGACGGGGACGGTAACCCCTTCAAGGGAGCTCTGGGCAGCTACGACGCGCTGCTGGAGGAGCACTACCTCAAGATGTCTTTCGGGCAGGTGCTTCATTTGCCTCCTCGTTGTTAGGAAACATGAATACAAACACAGAAAGGCTACCACTCCTGTAACTCTGTTGTTTCACATCATCGAACAAAACAAAACGAAACCGTTCCGATGTCCGCTCAGTTTCCTTCGTGCCTTGAAGGACGCGGTGGAGCTGTGTGCAGAGCTCCTCCAGAAAAGAGACGAAAAACGGATGAGCCCCACAGCAGCGCTGCTTTTCTATTTTCTCTGGTTCACTTCCTCCGGAACGAAAATTCTGCCCATCTGCTGCCGTGGTAAATATGTGTTCGTTATGTGAGTGAGTACCGTATATGACATATGATAACACACCCCCTTGACCGATTTTCGAAGCTCGATTTCTCAACTGCAGGAACAGTCACAGCGCCGATAACGGCGGCGTTGAAACCGTGTCGTCGAGAGCTTTTCGAAAATGTATCATTTCGTTTATGTATTATCCTCGTCGTGGAGTAGTCGAGCCTTGAAAATCGGTCCAGGAAGTGTGTTATCTTGTGTCATACACAGTAATAACACAACGAGAGCAAGGGGCTGCTGAACTGTCACCGTGTTGTTTGAATCGACGGCAATCACCCCAGAGGGCAAAGGTGGTGCAATAAACTGGAAAGTCCTGTCCTTCCCTTCCTGCTGTGTGACCGCGGTTTATACATCCCGAATGGTGTAAGTAGACTGGCACCAGCATAGATGGGGCGGATACACACACAAAAACGTTTAAGAAAAAAGAACGGTTCATCCACGTGTTCAAGCATGTGTACAAGACGCCCACGGGCTCTCCCGTAGAACTCAAGATGACCATTCTCCAGTTCGACGCTTTGTAGCGAGCGCGTGTGGAAGGTTAAGGCCGTACTTGCCTTTCTCTACAAGGGCATTTCACGTACTTTTTGGTGTTGAACTTGCTGTTTGCTTGTCCAACGTAGCACCCTGAAAATTGAGAAGTTCGGCCCACGTCCACAGACCGCAGACGTCTCCGCTTCATTTTTTTCAGGATGCTCGAACGTGCATACACCATCTGAAGTCATACAAAGTGGAAGCTGAGACTAACCACGAGGCTACGGAGGCTTACCAACCACGTGCATTCGCGTACATCGGTATCGTTTTGACCGAAGTACAGCAGTGCAATCAAAACAAATAGAGAAACTAATAGGACGGTGATGTGTTTGGCTCACAAACGTGGGGCTTACCGCCTCCGGTGTCTTTGACGTTCTCCCCTGCACACTCCTCCCAACCTGCGATATATGATGTCAGGCGACTGCGCTCGGGGTGGTAGGGGACACGGTGGCCCAGCGGCTGGAGAGGTGGCGGAACCCGGGGCAGCGATACGAGTTTTTGCGCACGGTGCATGCCGGCATCCTCAACATGATCATAGGTAACCTGGGTGGCTATTGCAGTAGTCTACGTGCAGAGGAACTTGAGCATCGCGCCGTGTGTGATACTCGGGTCGGTACTCAGGTTGGGTTTGTTCGTTCTCGTAGCCGAAGGCGGATGCGTCCCACTCCTGCGCGTTAGTTGATAAGGCCCATACCAAGGGTTCAAGCCTTCCCCGACACATCCAACTCGTTCGTATGGTTGTGATGAGGAGTCGGTCCAAGCACCAATGTGCCAAAGCCATCGTGGAAAATGAGGTGCTTTGGTCCATCCGTATGTAGAACAACCAACAACGGAGCATGAATCTCTCCGCCTTCGCGAAATCTTCACTACAGAGCGGTGGGGAACGGGACGGGGCCGGCAAGACTCTGCCGCAACCGCGTGTTGTAGCGACAGTCGTAGCCGGCGGCTGGCCAGTCAACTCCCACTCTCACCCCACCACTGTTCCCATCCTCTTCCCTCTTTGCCTACCCGCGCTTCGGGTGGCGCAGACGGAATTTTTACCCCGCACTGGTATAACTTGGTGGACTACGTCAACGACGAGATGACGTTGGGGCTAGCATTCGCCAAGGCCGTTGCGTCCAGCGTGTTCTACAGCCCTTTCGCCAACGGGCTGTTCCTTGCTGGCGCGCGAGTGCTGCGCTACGGGTTCAAGGTACGGCGGTTGCACGTCATGCAACTTGTGGAAGCCAGGTCTTCTGTTTGATCGTGTTTCACGATCATGGCTATATCCAGACCTTGCTGGACGTGTCTTCTAGGCTTTGCAGGTGTGATGTCAGGAGGGCTCCTCACCTCTCTTTTCTGACACCTTTAAATTGATGCCAGACCACGTGTACAGGTGTTTGAATTCCGCCCCTGACTAACCGCGGTTTGTGTCCTTGCCCATTCGCCTACGGTATTTGCCTTGTTACACAGACCCGATTTGGCTGGGCGGTGTGGAGGCGGCAGCTGACGGTGTGCACGATCCGAGACTTCGAGGTGAGATTGCTGTCGATTGCACACCATGTGCGGGCGTATCGAACTGTCGTGAATTGATGTGTGTTGTGTTTATTGATTGCTAGCGGTTTTGGACAAGACGATGTGCATGCAGTGCTTGCCGTGTTTTCGTTTTCGGGCGGAGCTCGGATCCATGCACGGCAGGCCAGTGAAAAAAAAAAAAACGCCAGTCAGCGTGCACACACAAGTCCCCACGATCGACGATTTGAGCAGATGTGGCCTCCGTTGCACGTCCTCAACTTCTGGTTGGTGCCCAAGCACTGGCGGCCCCTCGCCGGTCACCTAGCCGGAGTGGTCCTCCTGGCCGTAATCTCGTGCACCGGTCTCACCGACGCCGGGCTGCCCCTGGGCCAGCGTGCCGTGCCCCTCATGATGAGATGGGCGAGAGCCGTCGGGGGGCGGCTCAGCGGCAAGGGGCGGCGGGCCTCGGGCGCACCGCCGGCGAAGCAATAATAATCGCCTACCTTGTTTGTTGTGTTTTTGTGAGTTAAAGCGATTGGCTCTTCCCGTAGATGGAGTCGTTCGTGAGGCTGAGCAGCCGAGGCGTTTTGCGTTACGCCCTTGTCAAAGTCTAAACGTCTCCACACTTCTGTCTCTGAAAAGTGGGTGCCCCCTGACAGAGGGATGGGAGGGGAAGACGAAAGCTTTGAGCCTTTGTGTCTACCGTAGCGGGCGTGATGTCCATGTAACGAGGCGGTGGTTACGACGGAACGGTTTCGACGATGCGGTCTAGGGTGGGGTGAGTGGGGTGGAGGGGCTAGCGCGTTTGTTTACAGCAGAAGCAGCCGGATTGGGACCCGAATTTCTTGTTCAACTTGACTGAAAGACCAAACACATGACCGAGTGTTTTTCGGAAAAATGCTGAGATTTTTCGCCCTCCCTCAAAGCGGGAATAGGTAAGAGCGCGCGATGTGTGCCAGGGCCATGTTCCATGTTTACAATGTCCTTCTTGGTTCGGTGCTTCTCTTTCTGCTGTTCGGGGATGTTTTGTCCGGTATGCAACTGGTAAAGTCAGCCGGAGAAGGAGACAATGCCGAGCGGGATTGGGATTGGGTCGATGTCCTTGCTCGTGGTGTACTTGAGGCAAACGGCTTTGGTCTGGTTTGTAGTCCTCTTGCCGTGCGGTATGGTAGAGGTTTGCCATTGTGTTCATCGCATGCATGCATGCGTGCGTGTGTTGGTTTGTGTTTTCTTTTTGCCACCGGATGACCGATCGTGCCCGAAAAGTCGGCTGGGTTAACTTCGTGGGTATTTTGATTCCATTCGTTATTTTTTTGTTGGAGGCGCCGGGAAGGGATCGTTTTGGTTTTGTCAGTCGCACACCACAATCCGGGTGGCCGCTCATGCAAGGTTGTAGTGGTGCACGTTTTGTTCTTTGTCAGGCGAACGTAGAGTAGCGCAGAATTTTTTCCGGCGTTGGGTTTGCGGGTGCAGGTTCGTCGAGAACTTGTTTTTCAATCAGGGGAATCGGGCGGCCGTGTAAACAGCAGTTGGTTTAACAATGAGGGGTAACGTTGGGTCTGGTTTTCCCGCAGCAACCAACTTTATGTCGATAGTGTAACTCGTACCTAAGGTAGGCCCTTGCGTAAGCATGTGTGCACCTGTCTTTTACTCTTAATTCTGATTTGACTCCTACGCCTGCTTCATGCCAAGGATCAAGATTATTTCGAACTGAACGTGCAAAGGCGAAACGCCCGTTCGAATTATCTCGGGGATAGTGCGCAAGGTCGTTAAGGTCCCTTGAATGGGAGGAGACAAGGAAGGTGACCCACCCCCTGCCCGCTTGGCTGCGTGCGCTTGACTCCAGCGATATGTGTCGGTCATGGTGTGCTCTTTGAATTTCCACGCGATTGTTTCTCACCCTTCCTTGCCATTTAGATTTTCGTCAGATTATTTCACTGCTCTCGGAGGGTACACAACACGGGGGTACATTGCTTTGATTCCTTTGACACGTTGCATGGCGTCTACCGAATTCTAGGAGCCTACGCATGCGCCATAGGTATCTCTGTACACTCTCACAGCCTGTATGCGCACCTGACAGTAAGATAGAAGAAGCCACCGCGGGGTAAATCCTCGGTTTGCAATACATGTGTAAGTTCCCACCGGCGAACGTATGCCCGCCCTCAATTCAAGCACTTTTTGTTCTTGACGGGGGTGATGGAGGAAACTGCCCATGTCGAGTATGGCTAGGTTCTTGGAGGATCGCAGAGTTTACGTTGGATTGGACGCAGACAAGCGCGAGAATGGCAGCGATATCTGCTGCGATCATGTGGTGGCCACATGTCGTTCCAGCAATATTCATGCCGGATGTCCATCATGAGTGTCACATATTGTCATTCCTGTATCCCGCCAGCACTCTTCAGTAACGTGGCTCCCTTCTCCCTCCCCCGCGCCTGTGATGGCGCACACCCCTTCCTCCTCCGCCAACTCGTCCCATGCTTTCGCAATGATCGACTCCTGGCTGCTCCATGGCATGCCGCGAACTCCTGCGTGCAACCGTTGCGGCCGCCACTGGCTCTTCGATTCGGCCTGCCCCTCGTTTGGACGGGATGGATGGGTGCATTCCCGGCGCGGCATGCGGGTGCGGCATCTATCTCGCTCGGCGGATATTACGACGATTGAATGCCGGCCCGGCGCGTGGTATCTCTGTGTGTGCACAATCACCCGGCGCGTGGTATCTCTTGTGTGTGCACAATCCTCTTGTGTCATCTGTCAAAAAGTATTGGATACCTCTAGAGACCTTCACGCAACGAGTTCTGCGTCGGCGCTGGCGACCTTTAGCGTCCAATATTTTCGAGGTTGGCTTCCTGGTGATACTGAGCACTATCGCCAACGATGATGTTTGTCGCCACGACGATGCAAAGTAGGCGTGCTGCAGTGGAGGCCTGCACGCCACGATATTGTAGTAATTTGCAAAGCGGGGGTACCAGGGAGGAAAGAGCTCAATGTGGTCGACAAGAATGAGCTCATAAACTCCCAATATTGATTTTTTAAATGTGCGACTCACAAGTTTAGGTAAAATAGCAAGCCGGGGGAAGCCCCGACCAGACTCTGTACAGTAAGCCGCCTTGTTGTCTCCTCCTCAGGATTGAAGCAAAGGGTGACCATAGGAGGTACACCATCAGTAAGAACAGTCTTGAGTGTAAGGTCGCGTAACATTAATGGCGTACCAGATAGTTTGTACAGCGCACGGTGTAGTCTGATGTACTCGCGCATGTTCGTGGTGCCGTACGCATATATTCGCGACATTTCCGTCAGGGTGGCATGTGGTGAATGTGTGTGCATGTGTAATTATGTTAGTTGTGTGTTGTACTGTACGCCTAGACTAGCCTGTGTTCAAGGCCCCGTTTGTCGGCGGCTTTTGTTCGTTGACGGTGGTCTCCTGCTCAAACGAATCTCATCCTAGCGCGTGGGGGGATTAGAGGTCGCCCTAAACCCGAATACATTCAGCTGCTTATTGTATAAACCAACAAGTTTTCACCTCACGGAAAATCGCTGTCGTGCACGCTACAACGACTCAGCCGTTTTCCGACACGCATGAAAGTTCACCTTGCTGGGATGTGACGGTCCCGCACTTGCCGAAAGTGTTCTGGACAGGAGTTTTCAAGAATTGCCCATGTAGAAGAAATCACTTCTCGAGGTCGTTGCACAAAGGTCTCCTATACACAGGACCCGGCAGAGCACGGAGGTTATTATGGAGAAGTGAGGATGCACGCGTTAACCAACCTAATTCAAGCGAGCGTGTATAGGGTGTACAACACTGCAGCAAGGGCGGGCCTGCGGCGCACTTCACGTGGAATGTTACGGCACACGGATCGTTCTTCAACACAGCCACCGCAATCGGTGATAGATCAATCGCCGAATGCTCTAGACTCTTTTTTCAGATGCCACAAGCGGAAAGCCCGACTATTTGAACCACCCGCACAGCAGCACAGATCACCAACAACAGTCAAGCTAGCAAGTTCTCCCTACACCGGCTTTCATAGCCTGATTGCTCCTCAACCAGGAGGGTGCGAAAACCGCACGAGAAGTGCAAGCAGAGCTCTCGACGAGATCTTGCCAACACCGCCCATTTCGGCAATGTCGCCATCTTGGTTGTGGATAACACCGAGCTATGAAAGTTGTTACACTGGGTGTGCCAAAACCCCGATACTCGGTAGGGCATGAAGGCTGCGCAGCTGCTTCCCTAAAAGAACGTGGTCCTTCCACACTCTCGACAAGTCGAATATTCATCAATAAGTCGACTCGAAAAACGTTCTTGCATCAACCGGTACTAGAGGAGCTACCCTCGGCAATGGGTCCCAGAACATGACGGCAACTCCAGCAAGCCACATCCTACAAGCGATCACAAACACTTGCGGTACGGGGAAATGTCACCCCGTCTCGCCGCTCGCTGGGTCCCGGTCAGTGTTCCGTCCACATACGATAGCAGAACTATTGACAGAAGGGAATGGCTTACTACGTGGTGAATTTCCTGAGTGCGTCTGAGCACCTCGTTGTCGTTGACGTCATCTCGCTGCGTTGTCCAAGAGCATTCTTTGTTCTATGCTGTCCAAACCGCCCGCAATACACCTGCATGGTGAACACGGCGACGAGGACCGAAAGTCGCAACCGAGAGATCAGAATAGCAGCGCAAAGTTCGCACCCGAGAGAGCCGAGATTGAGTCAACCAGCTACGTCCCTGACATTTTAACAAACACTGATAACCCCGAGTGCACGAGGAGAGGAGGCGAGGAGCTTATTGGGGCGGATGGGGCAATCTTTGGCGGTATGTGATTGGTGTGTCGTAGCCTCATCTTTTGTAAACGGTCGTTCACGCCTTCCAGCCATTGGGATTGCAACCCGTTGCGTCCCACCGTGAGCTGACCTCATATTGGCGTCACCCCGGTGAGTGCTGCATACGATCGGCACACTGACCGTGCGCCTACACACGCATCGCCCACATGTAGATGCTTGGAAGTAGCTGTGGTGTGAGTGTTTCCACAAAATAGGCGAAAGCCAACGGCCGGTCAGGTGCAAAAAGAAAAAAATACAACAGAGCAAGTCTGAGGATGAGGCTGGGACCACAGACACACGCTGTTGATGTTGGATATATCTACAGCTTCTGAACACGTGGTCAATAGCCCTACCTTTCGGGCGTACGGGCGGCCAAGTCATCTCCCAAAAGGCATCAAGCCAGAACCGTATAAACGTCGAATGACTTTCTTCTCCACACCAGCAAAATATCGGGGTGCCACTTACAACTTGCAACGTTAACACAGCAGTATCCCGTCTCACCGCATCATGTCCGCCATGGCGGCGATGTCGTTGGCGGAACCCCCAAAGTGTTCGTCCTTGCGCAGGAGGTCGAGGTCGTCGGCAAATGCTTCCGCCATCAGGCCGAGACACTCGTCCTCTTGCGTCGTTGCGTGCCCCTCTTCCCCACCAGATGCATCCCCAGCGTCTTCTGCGGGCTTCTCCACTTCATCGTGCCGTTGACGTTTCTTATTGCCGCTTATACCACTGAATTGGACGTCCTGTGTCCCCTGCGCACTGTTTTGTTCTCCTCTAGTACTTTGATACATTTCTTCCACAGAGCGGTGTAGTTTTTTATCCAGGAGGTCATTATGCTGTGGTCGTTTAGCGACATAGGCATCCTGGTCTCGCCCTGCAGCTTCTGTCGCTGCTCCTCCAGCGGATGCGTCCCTGATCGCTTGTCGTGCAGCGTCGTACAGGCAGAGACGAGACCGAGCGGCGTCCATTGCTGGCGGTGTTCCTGATGCCGTTGGTCTGGCTAGAGATTCCGCCCTTTATACAACGTTGTTGTTGTTGAGGCCAGGATGATTCACCCGTTCGCGAGCTACGTACGGTCCCTTTCTCCCCTGAGCCAGCAAACCCGCAGTGCGGAGGCCCAGCCCTAAAAGCTGTGTGTCAATCCCGCCGCACACCAAAAAGCCAGGGATATTCAAGATATTGTTGCGCCGCTTCCAACGACGAGGGAATACGCGAGGCCACGGTAAGGGCCTGCCGACCAAATCGTCGACCGCCTTCCTTGGGTAAATGATAGGCCCTGCACACGTGACGCAGATCAGCCTACAACGCAGCGAGCGGTCATGCACGGCGGCGACACGGGCAGCGGCGAGACCACATGATGACCACGAGGGGTACGGGGTACATGATCGGCTCACCCGGTATCCCGTCAACGCTTTCAGAATGAACTTGCGGGGCCCCGCTGAAAGCACCGCTACTATCTCTGCTTGCTCTGTCACAGCCAAGCCATACTGCCTGCATTGGACAATCTTTCTACCACCAACACCTTCTAAGTACGCGCGGCAGCCGAGTGAACGCATACGCCCTGCTTCTGCTCCGAAGGTAGCTAGACGAAGTTGGGAAAAAAAAAAATTGCAGTTTGAATTTTGAACGTTATGTCTTCCACAGCGGCCGGGGCAACTGGGACCTCCCCCACTAAGCAAGGGAACGGCAACGGGAGCAAGCGCCCTCATGAGGAACAACCGCAAGACACGCCAGCCGACGGAAAAGGAACCGGCTCTCCGCCATCTAAGACTTTCAAGCCACACTCGAGCGAAGACAATAAGAAGGATGAGGTGCAGCCAACACCGGCATCAGGAGGAGGAGTGGTTGTTCCCGTCAAGGCCGAGGGCGCTCAACCCACTGACTCGGAGCGGGTAGAGGCGGAGTGTCTGCGGTCGTTGGGCCTGGCTGTTGGCACCCGGCTGGAAGTGATGTGGCTGTTGGAGGACGACGACAAGAGCGTCGAGAAGGTAAGATTTTTCGCCGATATAGCAGCAGCAGCACGGTCGCCCCGGTGGTCTAGTGGGTAGCCTCGCAGCCTGCTAAGGGCCAGGTCATGGGTTCGAGTCCCGGCAGGGAGAGTTTTTTTCTCACTAAATAAATCCTGGTCTAGGATGAAAGCGACGCGCTGCAAAGCTCGTTTGTTAGTAAACCATAATCGACTTCGTAAGTCGCGAGGGAAGGGATTGCTGTACCCTTCTCGCGATAAAAATACCTCAGGCATGAACCGCAGGAGGGGGGTCCAACCCCCCCCTCCTATGTGACCCCGGTTGGGTCGTCTAGCCAGTAGAAGTGGAGGATAGGGGCCAGAGGGGCAGACGGCAGAGTCCAATGATGGGAGAGAAACAAACAAAACAAACAACATGTGTTTGTTTTTCGCTGATTCTCAAGTCGAGACTCATTTCTTGAAATTGGTAAGTCTGTGTGCCGCAGTTGACACACGTAAGACACCACGCTCCCTGGACCATTTGTCAAAGCTCGATTGCTCAACAGCACACGGAATGGCGGTGCCGCAGATGATGGTCTTGTCGAGTGCTTTCCAAAAACGTATCGTTTTTTGTGCACATCTTCTTTGTCGTGGAGCAATCGAGCTTTGTAGATCGATCCAGTGGGCGTGATTTCTTGTAACCCACCCACGGTCGTCTTGCGCGAGGGAGGCGCGACGATAAAACCAACCGACGACGCCCCGCGGGAAATGGGTCGTATGCATTGAAAAAGGACATTGCAAGCAAACATCAAGGTGGCTGTGAGGCGGGCCAGGACAACTAGGATTATCACGGGCAGAAAATTCTACACTCGTGCCCGCTTTGAAAGGAGAAACAGCGGTTCTGTGTCCGAAGCCCACCAGTCTGGCACTTGTTGCAGAATGGCAATGGTCTGGCCGTTTGGTGATCCCTACCACCCCCGCGGCCGCCTCCACCGCGGCCGTACTGGCCCGGAGTGCTGTGCTGTCCCGATCCCCGACCTCCATCTCCGTGGGAACCATGAGATTCTCTGCCGCTATTTACCCTGCGGCCCAGAAACCGGGGGCTGCCCGATGATCGTTGGATGGTGATGCATGAAGCCAGGGATTCGTACCCCGGCATGTGCGATATCCAGACAGGTGTATTCCCCCCATGCCCCTTGGAAAGCGGGCGCCAGCGCCACCGGTTTAAAGACCGGCTCCACGCTGAGGGGCCATGTTTGGTTGGAACCACTGCCTTCTTGAAAATGGACAGATCGCCATCCTTCTTCTTGCAGTCATGTTTAAGTTCCGTGCTCGCAGGACTCGAGGAGTCTTATCCCTCAACCACAAGACACCCATCACCAAGGGGTGGCCATGGGTGTGTTGTGACTGAGGGACCTACTCGTTGAGTCCTGCGAGAACGGCAGATTACAAGAAGACTGGCGATCTCAATATTGAAGGAGGCACTGGATCTTACCAGACATGGCCCCTCAGCGTGGAGCCGGGAGCCGGTCTTGAACCGATGGCGCTGGCGCCCGCTTTCCAAGAGGCGTGGTGGGGTTCAGCCCCACATCCCTCTTTCATGTGGAGGAATTATCGTCCACTTTTTGTAATCGATTGAAGCTCCGTGCTCACAAGCCTCGAGGAGCCGTTCCGTCAACCACAACACACCAGTAGCCGCAACATGGCTCGACAGATGCTATACGGGCTACTGCCACCATTTTTGGGCCCTTTTTGCGCCTTTCCTATCTACTTCTTCACTCGTTCGTCTGTTTGGGTCTACCGACTGCCCCCACAAACAAGACGTCTCGAGGAAGTCGTGTACTGTTTTTCCTCAATTCTGGGTCCGCACTGCTGTTTTTTTTTTTGTTGTGCCAGTGGTGGGGCTGCTCGGTGGCCGGAGCCAAGACGGGAGAGCGGGACGAGGAGGAGGGCCGGCCGGTGTTCACGCTGCACTACGATGCCTACGAGGCGTTCGAGGAGGCAGACCACGACGTGTGCTTCGTGGACAGGTAACTAACCAACCGCTCGCTGGTTCTATTCGCACCCAGTGCGCCTGGCGTGTTTTCGCCGCGTGTGTATCGCGAATCGTTTCTGTCTGCAGGTGTTGGACGTTGGGTTTTCTCTTCAGTATTGCCATCCATGTGATTCCATCCATGTGAGTTGCTTTACACTACATAGTGACGCTGCCAACGAACAATTACTATGCCATTTATTTGTATCAGGTATCGCCTTGTGCACCTTGAGGACGGGGCGGAGATGACCTGGAAGCGGGAAGGAGAGGAGGTCGATAGGGAGGCGGTGCTGGCTTCCCTCGCTGACGAAGACGTGAACCTCCAGGAGGTAAACAAACAACACGTGCCCGCCGCTGTTTTTTTTCAGCACAGAAGGCTTAGGCTTGATAGGTGGGACGGGGGCTGCCTCGATGACTTTGTTTGTGTTACTTATATCGTGAGCAGATGTGAGGTCGTAGTACAACGTTACAGCAGCCTGACGGCGTTGCCACCATGGCGCGCTCCCGAACGCCCGTTAAGAAAACAGCCGGTGTCACGAGGTCAACTCTTCAATAGAGCCTGACCGCAGTGGACTGCTTCACCGCTTTCAGCATTCTCTCTCAAGGTTTATCTTCTGTGTTTTCCCGTCTGCGGCAAGCGTTGACTGAGCCGCATGATATACCTCGGCACCGTGTAGGCGACTGGTTGTCCTCTCCGTCTGCGTCGTGTCCGTGTGTCTTGTCACCCCATTCCACAGGTGATGGCGGCGCAGGAAGAGGAAGACGCGAACGAGGGCGCAGAGAGCGTTGAGACCAGGAGCATGAAAGCCATAGCACAGTTGCCCCCGCACCAGCAGGTACGCGCCCATCCACACCTCGCGTTCACATCAGTTAAGAGCTACTGTTGTAGGTAAAGGTGTGTGTTCGAGCCTTCACAGGAGTTCCCACGAGGGGCCTCACTATGTTCTGGTGTGTCGGCTGTCGCTTTTTGTTTCACCAATGAGATGGCCTCGCTAATTTTCGTCGGTAAGGCGTTTATTCTTTAATGAAAGCCATGGCCGTAGCTTTTTTCGTACATGTGGTGTCCCAGAATGCTTGCAGCAAAAGGCGGGGGGTTTGCGTGGAGGCAGTGGTTTAGGGCTCAAAATCCTTGCACCTCAACTGGGGCAATTCCTTTCGCGTTACATTCCACCTAAGCACCCCACACGGGCAATCCGTGGCTCGTTTTTCTGCAGAGTTTATTGGCCCATGAACACGGTCCGCGCAAGCGCCCCCTGCTGTGGGAGAAGCCGTTGTTTCGTAGAACGCGGAAGAACTAAGGCTGCCTTTTCCCCGATGTACGCCATGATGCTCGTGCATCACAAACCTTGATCGGCGGAAACCCAGGCGGCAATGATGGCAGGTTACCGACGAATGGCCGACGTCATCAAGGAGCATCTGCGGGCGAAGATAACGCGGACCGGCGGAGAGACGGTGGTGTCCGAGGCGGACGTGGAGAACATGTTTCGCGACGTTCGGGGCAGTGGCGGAAGTAGCGGCTCCTTCTGATGGACGATCCACTCAGCGGGCCAGCGGGCGGCAGCGGTAGTGCGGGGGGGTGCACTGCGGCCGTTGAGCTGGGGGATTTTAAACATCGTGCCGGGAGGGTGTGGCTGTGGTGGTGTATGAATGCAGCAGCTGCTGCGGCGGCCAGCGATGCAGACGCTGTACCTTCTGGAATCGAATTGTTCGGTGGCGGTGACAGCCACAGCGGTGACAACAACGTCACACTGGAAGCATGCGTTGGGGAGCTTCCTCTGCATTCCCAAGATGCTCGGGCACACGTGCCGTGTGTATCGTGGTAGGGAGCTTGAATACGTCATGTTGGACGTTTTTTTAAAACTACTATTGTAGGTAGATACTTTTTGTGTTGAAGCTTGCCGTTGCCTTGAACACGACGATTTTTGTTCGTATGTAATATTTTGAAGTACTGCTTGCTGTGAGGATGAACATAGAGAAATGCACGGTGGTTGATGCTGCGTTGATTACTCGCAGGTGTTAAGAGGGTCTGTTGTTTCGTACCGCCTCGGAGGCTGCCTACAAGACGCGGTGGTGGTAGCCAAGGCTGTGAGCAAGCCAGCTTTCGCTTTAGTCACACTGAAAGCGTAAAATACGTAAATAAGTGTCTATCAGCTAGCTCATTATGATGCGTAAAGCTGTGCCAAAGCTGCTCCCGGGAGGTGATGGGTTTTGAACCGAGGAATAGAGCAATTTGGGATGTGGGGACGAACGAATGTGATGGGAGCGTTGATTTTGATTTGGGCCAAATCTTTGCATGGGCACGAATACACTTATGCACAACGGTGATGCTCATGCGAACTTGTGTACCCACGCGTCATACTGAGCCAACTCCCGTTCCGGCTGCTGACGGCTTCACCGTCGTCATAACATGATCGAAAAGGAGGAGTGACTGCGTTGTTCCCTGGACGCGCTGGGGGTCGATACATCAATGTGCGATGTTACCTACTACTCGAGGGTGTGCCATAGTCCGACACGACAGCCCCGCCCGTCGGACATCTGACCCCACTTGCCACCGCCAAGCTACGCTGGTCCCACGCCGTCGTAGAGGAGCAAGCCGATACAATCAGGTTTTTGGAGGAGACCAGCCCGCGCTGTGGGTTGACACTTTTTTGCCTCCTGGATAGACTACATGTTCGCAAAATTAATTTATTCAAGCCTACGACTCGCGGGGCCGCGAGCCGAGGCTACGACCTGCGGTTCAAAATGTCCGCGAAATACGTGCGCTCGCAGGAATGTGTGGGAGTCCGAGAGCAGCGAATGCGCAAATAAGATCACGAGATTTAGATTTCCCAAAGATTCGGACGCCCCAATGATCGAAGGAGCCGCCAGTGGCAGGAGCCCCGTGATATCATCATGGCACGGATGCAATCCAGCCTCTACCCAGCAGCAGTGTGCAGGTTGTACAGACCAGCCTACCGGCTCACAACGGGGACAGGGAGCGGCAGCGAAGTTGAGGTATGGCAGGACTACGTCGATTCCATACTGTAAGCGACGTTTGCAGGGCCGACTTATGTTAGTTGCGGCGTCACGACGGCGTGCGCAAGCGGCAAGTGGCTGACTGCTGCTGTGTAACCAAAAAATGGCAACGGGAATCGCGCTCACACTGCCACCTCCGGTCCGTGGGGGTCGTTATATCGCACACCCTCAGCTTCAGTAGCTCCTACTGCTACTCGAGCACACCCACCGCATCATGAAATGTCGTGCTCATTCCTAGTGAAGGCTGCCAGCCGCAACCGGTGGTGTCCAGCGTCGTTCCGACCACGGGAAGGAGCTAGACGGAAGTGTAGTTTGCGCTCTGACTCGGCAGCTCGCAGGATATGTTCTTTTTGCCCTCTGCATGTAGGTGGATGAAGCGTACGGTACTCAAGCTGTCGAAGGCGAATCCCCCAGGTTCAGAAGGCCACGTAGTGTTTGCGAAATGATTTTCGCTCTATGCGTAGATGTAACGATGTGTTGGCCGTCGGCATGCCGGCATCTGAACAGCAGTAAATCAGTATGTCCCTGGCATCTGAACAGCAGCAAATCAAGTACATGTACCCACAGCAGCACCGCAGCAGGAGTTACGCCGCTCCTTTCCATGAGGCCGCGCAAAGCGTGAAAGCTAAAGCAGTGGCGGTGTTGCTGTGTACCTGCTTGCAGCTGGGATTCGCGGCATGCTGCTAGCTGTTGCTAACATGCTGCTGTTGTAAGGGGAGGTAATACTGCTCTGATGAAGCGTTGTAAATTGTACATTGTTCGACTCGTTGTTGCTGTTACAGCAGTAGAGGTCCCCGGTGTTTTATGCCGGTTGGATCAGTAATAACGCCTCTGCCCGGTGTAGCGTCGGTGTTTTCGGCGGGCACACACTGAATTACCAACTCGTTCTCATTTGTTTGAATAGTGCCTATCCGGTTTAGAAGCGCAGGTGAATTTGCTCGGCATATGTCGGCACTAGACAGGGATCTCTGCTGTACAGCAGTACAGTGCAACCTTCGGTGGAGCAGCGTTGACTCAGATTTGGACCTGCAGATGTGCGCGACCAACATTATTTTTTTACTGAGAATTGGGGACACACTGGTGGATCCTATCGAGTATCACTATTTTGGCACAGTATGTTTGCTTGTCTCAACGGCGGCAATTTGTAAAACCCCTCTGGCCCAAAATTTACGTTTCCGCACTGCGCAGTGTTACGAGTTTAGATTGCGCCGCCTTTTTTTTTGCACATGGTATCGATCTCGCGAACGCTGTAGGTCACCGTTTGGAGTAGTGAAAGCAGGGACGAGTAGCTGTGGTGCTCAGCTATTGTTTGGTGTGAAGAACGTGTGGATGCTGGCTGTGTACGACTTCTTTGGTCCAAAAGTGTAGTTTTTTTTAGATAGCATGATGGGAAAAAGAGAGAAGCAGGCTTCCCTCTATATAGCGGGGATACCTCCTACGCAGCCCCCCCCCCACAACAATCGGTCAGAGTAGACCTTCACAACACGTCTCTGTAGCCCATACAGTCCAACATTCGCCATCGAAAAAGCACAACGTGTGCCTGTACATACACCTCAGTGGTGTTAGAGGTGGCTTCACGTCGCAGTTTGTCGGTGCGGGTGTGTTACAGCGCCCAGCCGACCGACCTGCTCAGAGCTTCAACCGGTCCAACCCCTGTGCACTTGACGGCGTGGCCGTACTGGGCAGTTCCCTTTTGACTGAGAACTGCTGGTGATACAAGAAGCGAAGGTTGTGGACTTTCAGAATCACCCGCCAGAACTCTGGTTCGAGATCTGAGGATGGAGAAATTCAGAGATTTGCCCGTCGCGGGTTTCATCTGACACAGAGAGTGTGGACCTGTTGCCGTGTCGCGTGGCGGCGGGATATTTGAGCTTCTGCGTTACGTAGAATCTCACTTGCTTCAATTTCCGTATCATGTTTGGCGACACCGACCTCCACTGGGGAGGGTCGAATCGCGACCCCCCAAGTGGATGACATGCTTTGGTATCCTTAATAAGTAGCAGCTGTCACGTCTCTTCCATGGTTCACTCTGCTCTGTGGCGAGGTGCCCGGTCTGTTTCCGCGCAAGGGTGTCCTCCTTTGTAATCTCCAGTCATTTTATCGACAACTGTCAGGCGTACAAAATTGGGTTTCGTGCACCCGGCCAACAAAAAAACGCGTCGTAGTCAAATCTCTTACCGCTGTGCGCCCCCCCCATCTGTATATGTCCATTTTGGTGCTACCTCCGGAGGACTCTCACACGCAAACACCTACCAAGGCCGCCGCTGCACGCGCTGCTGCTCTGAAGTTGTTTTGTCTGGCGCCCGTCATGAACAACCATGCCACCATCCACTGCCGCACTCCAACGACTACGAGCGACGCATTAGGACCCAACTCCCGCAACACCGCAGCGCTGGGGCATCCGTTCCCCTTTTTCCTCCGTCCCCCGTAACGGCTCTTGGCCCCTCTCTCTGTTTGTCGCACCACTTTCCGTTCGTTCAGCATGGCGCCAAGAACATCCACGAAGCAGGCCTCCGACGCGATGGACATTCGGGAGGCGGTGAAGGCCTCCGTCGCGGCGGAGAGCAGGGACAGCAAGCTGTGGGGCTTCGTGCCCAATTGGTTCCGCACCACTGTCGGCCCCCTGTTTCTAATCCTCGTCCCGCCCTTCTTCGTGGTGTTCTGGTGGCACCTCCTCGTGAGCCACAGTGGGAGCTGGGTCTCCCTCTGGGGGGACCTGAAGGCGGCGGGGCCGGAGTACGTGCTCGACGTCGTGCCGAGCCCTGTGGACCCGGAAGCGTGGAAGTACATCCTCGGATTCGGGTGCGAGCCTTTTTTTTTTTTGTTTTGGTTGGCGTACATGCAGCAGTTCAATAGCGCCCGCGCTTAAGAACCTCTAGTTTCGGCAGAGGCTTGGGTGCTTTATCCCTACAGTGGTGTTGTGCTACGAGTGGCCGTTACACCGGGTTTTGTGCAAGGGGTTCTTTACCGAGCTCACAAACGGTGCTCAAGTCCCTAGATTGTGAGCTTTTGGAGGCTGTATGAGTTTCTTTACTGCTCACTTCTTAAGCGCGGGCGCTTACTGTATGTTGGGAAAGAGGGCACAGGATTAGAGGAGTCAGCTGGAAGATGGTCATGTGCCCGTTACTTCTCTCGTCCAGTCTCTTTCGTCGATCTTAAGAGCAACGTGATGGACGATGCCCGCTTGTAGCCGGTACTGGCGCCGTTTTCTTTCTTCTGACAGTCGGGCTCGAATCCGTGAATCCATCCATTGCTTCGCCTATCGTGTGAGAGGAGAGAAGCAACGGACGCCTCATATATAACACGGTCGGGTTGTGTCTGTCGTTTTTATCCCTAGCCCACGGCTGTCGACCTTGTTGTGCGTATTTTTTTATTTTTGGTGTGGGCGTCGCTTCTGCTTGTTGATTGTCTGCCACCCTTCGGAATGATGTGTTTGATCTTCCGCTACGTGCTTATTTCGTATTCCTCTTCCCGCCGTCCGCTCAACTCAATCGCTGACTCACCTATAAACGATTTTTTCATCCACAAAAGTGTAGTCGCATGGATCTCCCCCCGCCCGATGGCTCTCTCATTCAGTGCCGCGCACTCGATGCTTTGTTTTCCTTCATTTTTTTTTTTTCTTGACAGAGTGTTCGAGATCGTGCTCATGGTCGGTCTCCCCGGCAAGGCATTCCGCGCCAACCCCACCGCCACCGGACACATCCCCGTGTACAAGGCGAACGGCATGCTCTCCTACCTCGTGACGCTCGCGACGCTCTGTGCCCTTGTCGCCACCGACAGGTGTTAGAAGAAGTGTTCGAAATAGTGTTCCGAGAAGCTTCTTCCACGTGGCGCGCGCGGCGTCGAAATTGTAGACCATCTTTGTTGCCGCAGCAGCAGCAGTGTCGTGAGAAGCTGACTATGATAGCAGTTCTTTTGCACGATGGGATGACACGGGGATAGAGACAGACTCGTGCGGTGCGTTCCGTTGTGTTGGATCTTGATCTTGTCCGGCACGTGTAGCAAACGGGCTTGTTTTGGCTCTCGTTAGTTTGATCCCGCTGTTCCGGACCATGTGTTTTCTTGCTGCCGCTTGCGGGTGACACATGCTGCTCACATTGTCGTAGGAGTTTCCCCTATCTCGCAGGGTAAGCTGCAGTGCATCTTGCATGTGCACACCAACAGAATGTGCAGGCTCCACACCATTTTTATTTTCCTTGTATTGCTGTTTACTCTCCTCCTCATTTCCGCTCTACGCGCACTCACGCGCGCTCTATCACGGTGTCAGGCTGGACCCTAAGAACGTGTACGACAAGCTCGGCGAGATCTTCACCGGACTGTCGGTGTTCTCTCTCTTCTTCGTTCTCCTCCTTACCGTCAAGGGCTTGTACTTCCCTTCCACCGACGACAGCGGCAGCAACGGCAGCTTCCTCCAGAACTACTGGTGGTGGGACGTATTTCGTAAATGTAGCGCAGCGTTCTTTTGTCGCGTGATTGATTCCCTTGGTGACGTGGTCGAGCGTGTTTGTTTCGAGATGGAGAGTGAGTGTTACAAGCATCAGCGCTTTGCCGTTCGTTGTCCATTGGTTTGGTTTTTCTCGACTCTTACGCCGTTTTTGTTCTACTGTACGGGGTGTTGTAACTCCTCGACGTTGACGACAGCGGCAGCAGCGGCAGCAGCGGCAGCCCACCTTGCTGTGCGGGTAGTGCGCGCCTCTTTCGAATTTTTTTTCCCTTCGTCTTATTTGCAATTGGTCCGCTTCGCTTGTGTGGTGCTTCTCTCCGCTGATGACGAACAAGGTTTGAGAATAGTCTTCCTCCGTGCATCCCATTTTTTTTGTTGCAGCGAGTAAACATAACCCCACAGCAAGACTACCCGTTCGAGATATAACCCCAGTCGAAAGGGACGTGTTGAAGTCTTTTAAGTGAGTGGAGTTAAACCGACTGGACAGTGGGCTTATTTGAGTTTGTGTAAGCCTATACCGGTTTTTTCTTTGTTGTTTGAGAGGACCACGCCTAGTGCTACGTCCTGGCCAACAGTCCTTATCCTTCCTGCCGCCCCCCGGTACATATCACCACTGAGTCTTTGACCGAATCACGTCTTGGCGCCCCTGTCTAATGTTTGTTTTCTGTTTAGGGGCACCGAGCTATACCCCCGCGTGTTCGGAGCGGACGTGAAGATGTTCACGAACTGCCGGTTCGGGATGATGTACTGGGCCGTAGGCGCGGTGATCTACGCTTATACGCAGCAGCAGATGTACGGGAAGCTGTCGAGTAGCATGGCGGTAAGTCGGGCGGCGGCCTGGCGGTGTCCCGTGTCCGCTGCGGCTCTCCTGTCCGTTCTACCTGGTGCAGTCTATAATACCTGGTTGCATGTAGACGGCGTTTCTGCTTTATACACGACGTGCACGCTTGACAGGTCAGCGTCATTCTCCAGCTCACGTACATCACCAAGTTCTTCCACTGGGAGATGGGGTACATGAACAGCATGGACATCCAGCACGATCGCGCGGGTTACTACCTGTGCTGGGGCTGCCTGGTGAGAAAAAAGACTACTGCTTTGAAGCAGCCAGGGATCAGATAAGCATAACCATCGTACGAGGGAGGAGAGGAGACTACCGTAGCAGCCAGGAATCACATAAGCGTAAGCATTGTTCGGGAGAGGAGAGGGAAGAGGGGAGGAAGGTAGGCAACGACAAGGCGGTAGCCCTCGTGAGTATACTGGTTTTTGAGGTGGTACCGGGGTGGGTTGGGTTGGGGGCTAGGGTTAGGATAGGGATACAACCCCCCCCTCTCTATCTCAAAGGATGACAATAAAATCCTCGCGAAGCCGATCTAGACAAGAAGATAAGGGGGTATTCGGAGGAAGTTTTCTATTCTTTGTGTGCAGCGACCCTGCCCAACCCAACCAACCCCACATGTCAACGCAGGTCTGGGTGCCGGCCGTGTACTCCTCCCCGGGTATCTACCTGGTCAAGCACCCTATCTCCTTGGGCTGGTACGGCGCCTCTGCTATCCTGGCGCTGGGGTTGCTCTCGATCTGGGCCAACTTTGACGCCGACAGGCAACGCCACGCCTTCCGACAGGCGAGAGCCTAGCACCACGCCTCATTTTGCCTCTCGTCCATGCTGGCGGATGTACTCATGATGCCGTTTACCTGTTTGGGGTTGCCTAATATTTAGTTTAAGGCGCTGTGTGCAACGAGAAAAACGTGGTGCTATCAATCTCTTGGTGGCGCTGGACATGCCGTGTGTTGCCCTTGTCGCTTGACCTGAGCATTGCTCCAGTTGTTTCCAAGCAGTCAAGTAGTAATGGATTGTGGCTATTCATGATTCAATGTACGTAAGTCTCGGATGTACCTGTGTATTGTCTTATTTCTTCGCAAGAACAACGTCCCGTGATTCCTGCAAAAGAGGAGAAGTCAGCATGCCCCGTGACTCACGTGCCTTGTCGACAGTGCACAGCGAAGGAGAAACACCACAACGTGGTGAGGTGTTGGTCAATCGTTGGTTTCAACGACTCTACCCTACCCTCTACGTTAAGTCGCCAGTCCCCACGCTTGGACGGCTTTTTTCTACCCTGTTTAGTATGAAACGGAGAATGTTGCCCGTCGTGCTCTGGGGCGTGGACCAGAGATGCATGCTTCGAAGTCGTGGTTGCTCTTGACGGCGAGTGATTGATTCGGCCTGAGCTAAACTCTAGCGACTTTCTCGGCCCGTCCCTAACAGGCCAAGGGGGACATTATCGTATGGGGCAAGCCGGCAAAATACATCACGGCGGGCTACATCAACGCCCGCGGGGAGGCGGCCTCCTCGCTCCTCCTGTGCACCGGCTGGTGGGGGGTGGCCCGCCACTTCCACTACCTCCCCGAGATCACGGGGGCGTTCTTCTGGACGGTTCCGGCGCTGTTTGAGACTCCGACACCGTACTTCTACGTGGTCTTCCTGGTCCTGCTGCTGACGGACAGGGCGTTCAGGGACGACACTCGCTGCCGCGGAAAGTACGGCAAGCACTGGGACAAGGTAAGGGGTTGGGTGGTGTGCTTGTTGCCGTGCGTGCGGCAGTCGTCGATTCCGCTCGCCCTTGAGTCGTTTCCGTGATGAACGCGTTTTATTCCGGCGACGAACGAGCGAGAGAGGGAAAGCAGGTGTGAGATATGCAGGTTTCGGTATTTCCATTCTCCCCGAGGCTGTTCCGAAGGTTTGGCCTTTTTGGGTGTTGCCTGCCTCTAGGCCACTTGGCGCAGGGCCACTTGGCGCAGTATATTATTATCCATTTCACGACACGCTTTCCTTTTGTTTGTTGTCGTCTGTGTGCTGCGCGTTTCCGCCGATGTCGTTGATGCATTTCCGTTGTCGCCCTCTCGCTGCTTGTCTTGCAGTACTGCGCGCAGGTTCCGTACAAGATTGTGCCCGGTGTTTTGTGAGCCACAATATGAGTGTTTTTTAAAGCGTTCATTTTCGGAGAGGCGTCGGAGCGACTTGTTCATACCCCCCCCCCCGCTCGGGGTATTTGTTTTCACCCAAAGTTTTTTTGCAAAGATCAAGGCCTTTTTTTTGAGAGGAGTCAGGCCTTCTTGGGATGAACCCGGGGGGGTCTTCAATGGGGGGCGCAAGTCGTCGTTGTCTTGTTGGCCGGTATCTGCCAAGTCTTTGTGGGGATTGCATTCGTGATTGCCATTGAACACGTTGTTGACGGGTGGTAAGAAGTGCGTGTAGCACCAGAGGCAGGACCAAGGGGGCCTACTGGGTTGGTTGTTGCCGTTTTTTTGCTGAAGGTGTTGCAGAGTGTGCGAAAACTAATGGGTAGGTCGTTGGCTTCCTCTGTAAGTGTGGAACCTAGTTCGAGAAGCACTTGTTTTATTATTAGCGTAGATTTTATGGCGTCCCAAAGCGAGCGTGATATTCGACTTACGTGGAGCTTATCAGTTGGTCGATATGATACATGAGTGGGGGCAAATACTTGAATGTTCCTAACAAGAGGACCGGCCGTGTGGAAGCATGTTGGCATGAACTTGGCAAATACGCCGTACTGCATACAACATAACACTCCCACGAGAGATATCCGCACGGAATGCCACACCCGGTGATTCTGCGACAGCGACCTTGTTCAAGTTTGTCACCGGGGGTGTTGTCGAGTCATCACAGAGTGGTGTAGGGCGATACGTTACGTTCGCGCCCAGAACCTTTCACCCGGACCCGAGCATTGAGGTGCAACCTGCGTGTACGCACAACACAGCGCTAGTTCTGCCGTGCTTCGGTTCTTCCGTTGATGCACGCGACAGAGGGAGCGGGTGATAAACATATCCAACCGTGATTGGGATTTTGCCCATAATTTATTTTCCAGTGTTTGCCGGGTACAGCAGCAAATAGTTCAGTCCCTCGACGGACATCCAGGATGTCCAATGTGTACGTGCGTGCTTGTGATCACAGGAAGAAGAGTCGGATTCGGTCGGGCAAGGTGCTAATCAATGACACAAGAACCAGTCGTGTTTTTTGCTGGGTGTTCGGCCAACAATGCCCGCGTCTCTTGTTTTTCTCCGTCTCCATCCAAGACCTCGGGATCTTAAGCTTTCGATGTGCGCTTTTTGACGCTTTAGGTTGCACACTCTTTATTCTATCCTGTTGCCAAGAATCCGCCGTGTTCATCAATCAGTCCAAGGAAGACGCATTTCAATAACAGTCGGATCTAAAAAGTGTGTTGTTTCTCAAATTTGCTCTATTGTCCACAAAAAATGTGGAGCCCGTGGTCTCAAAACCCGGCACATACGACGCCGCGGGGAATAAAAAAAATAGGGTACAAACCACTCGGAAAAAGAAAACAAAATGATCCAAAGAAAATAACAGGTACCGCACCGACCGTTCGAGAAAAGGGCCCTCGGAAACCGATCAAAAATCAAACAAAAACAAAAATAAAAGGCGGACGCTTCCCATTGGGAGTAACGGAGCAAACAGGATAAAGAGGCGGCAGACGTGCAGACAGCCAGATGTACAAAAAACAAAAGCAACAGCAAAAGCGAGATCAAGGTACCCAACACAGCAGAGTAGCTATAATAAATAGGCAGGGAGGACATGAAAAAAAGAAACACAGCACAGAGGCCGAAGGCAATACAAAGGACATACACAAAGGAGTAAAGCATATCTACAGCAGGGAAGGAAACAGGGCGCAACTACATCAGCCGGGTACATAACNACAAAAGCAACAGCAAAAGCGAGATCAAGGTACCCAACACAGCAGAGTAGCTATAATAAATAGGCAGGGAGGACATGAAAAAAAGAAACACAGCACAGAGGCCGAAGGCAATACAAAGGACATACACAAAGGAGTAAAGCATATCTACAGCAGGGAAGGAAACAGGGCGCAACTACATCAGCCGGGTACATAACCACGGTCGCCCCGATGGTCTAGTGGGTAGCCTCGCAGCCTGCTAAGGGCCAGGTCATGGGTTCGAGTCCCGACAGAGTGAGTTTTTTCTCGCTACAGCAGTTTAATCCTGGTCTCCGTTGGAAGCGACGCGCTGCAAAGCTCGTTGTTTAAAAACTTGATAGACTTCATAAGTCGCGAGGGAAGGGATTGCTGTACCCTTCTCGCGATAAAAATATCTCAGGCAGGAACCGCAGGAGGGGGTCCAAACCCCCCCTCCTATGTGACCCCGGTTGGGTCGTCTAGCTGGTAGAAGTGGAGGATAGGGGCCAGAGGGGCAGACGACAGAATCCAATGATGGGAGGCAAAAAAAAAAAAAAGTTCGCCACAAGTGCTGCCTCGGCCGCCCTACTCGCTTCTACAGCAGTGCCCGGTCGCCGCTTCTTCCCCCCCCACCGCCGCTTCCCCGACTCTCTTTCTCTTGAGTCCTGAGATAACCGTACTCTCTGCTTCTGCTTCCCTCGAGCACTGGCGCTTCGCGGACGCTTCCGCCTCCTGCCTGTGCCATTTCCTCATCATGAGCCATGCCACCCCGTCCTCGACCTTGTTGTACCACACCTCCGGGTTCTTGGCGCTCTCTTTCCATTTCCCCCCTTCCTTTTCGTCTCCCATGTTGAAGGCCACGAGGTCCTCTCCTAGACGATACACCCAGTCGCTCTCCTGCCCGCCCCGGTATCCCACGCCCCCCGCCATCGCTCATATGTGTGTGAACTTGCAAGCTTCACTTGTCTTATGCGGCGCCCACCACACACTGCCTATATTTTTCTGTGTCGTACATTTTCGAAGAGTACCAAACAGCACGGTTGCTGGACAATACGTGCATTTTGGTGCATCTGATCCTTGATTATCGGGCACCGGGTACAACTTCGCTTCGGCCTGATGAGGGTTCAGCAGCAGTAAATAGTGCATATCCAAGATCCACGTTTCGGACACGAAAGATACAGCAGCTTGCTCCGGCGGGTAAATCCTGTCGACCACACGCACGCAAGACATTTTTTTTTTTTTCAACTGAGGCGCGCCTCGATGATTGCTACTGCTGCAACCGTACCGAGCACGTACGCAAACGAGATACGACGGCAGCGAACGCACCTCTTCTTCCTAGCCAAGCAAGAAACATGAGAATCGAGGACAGAGTAATCCCAGCGAGGTTTCTTGTGACCCTCGGCCACCTGGTCGGAGTGATCATGATCAGCAAGACGAAGTCGGACAACGTGTACGCCGGGTTGTCGTCCGATCCCACCGCCGCAGAGGTTGCCACGGCTAACAGCCACGTCAATGTGAGCTTGAATACATGCATGCGTGTGTGCGCCATCGCTCTACGGTCATGACGAACAGCAGTCCCGAGACCCACAGGCGGACCTTGAGATGCTCTAGTTGTTGTTGTTGTTGTTGTTGTTGTTGCTGTCTTCACATCAACTGTTCCGTTCTCTCGGCCCAACCTTCCTCTGTCCGAATGCATACTATGTACAGCAGTGATCAACAGTTGACGGGGTCGATTCCCGTGTTCATAGGCTTATTTACCCCAAGGGGTATACGAACATCTTCAGCAAGTAAATGGTGCATCTACACCCGAGGTCGTGCTTGACTCAGCCATGCAATATCCCGACGTTGAACAAGGTGGGAGACATCGAGTACAGTCCACGTCCCGGCCAGCTTGGACCACCACGGATGGCTCACCGCGGCCGCAATACCTCTTCATCCCCCCCGCGTTTCCTTGGACCTTGACACTTGTACTGTACGTACAGCAGTACCAGCTATATGGTTCTGCAGACCACTGCCTGCCGCTGCTGTACATTGGTTGCATATGTATGCAGTCAACCTTGTATCAGAGTACCTGCGTTTTGCATCACGTCCTCTAGACCTACCGTTTCCTAGAATCTGCAGGAACCGTTGTGCATGGGCAGTACATTGTGTACACTGCGCCACCGATCGGATAACTCGATATTCCCTCTTTGGGAAAACCAGTACCATAGACTACACATACATCGACGCCCTCAACTATCACACGCATGCCCACCACACTCACATACAGAACGCGCCACAACTTAAGAACCGCTTATTTAGCTTGAGGCTCGACGCTTGTTGGTTACTTACAACGGAGCACATATTATTGCCAAGTTCTTTTTTGCAACAGGCATCCACCTATGATATACGGGGCTCTTCCCTTGTTTCTATGTAAACCGTTTGCCCTATTCAGAGGACACAGGTCTTTCTGGGTGGATTACATCACGGGACACTACTGATACAAGTGTACAAGACAGTCGTTTAATCCCCCCCTAGACAGCAGCCGCATGTATGTATGAATGTACGGTATGGGAGAGGAGAGGTTGCCGAGAACAGAGGCGAACTGCACAAACAACGCGAATGGGTGTGCCAACCTACGGAGTGGGGTAATGTTGTAGACGACGCATGACAGGCGTTCGAAATTGACGAAGGCGACACGCTGGAAACGCAAGGTTTAGAGGGTTCAAGGAGAAGATATCTGCTTTTGCCAAGAGAGAAGAACGTAACCTCTGTTGTATAAAGCTTACCCATTAGACTACTCAGTCAGCGGCTGACTGAGTAGTCTAATGGGGTAAACCTTTCTGACAAAAGATAGTCTAATGTGGTAAGCCTTTCAACAAAACATACACTCTCGGCTCGTAGCCACCCGGCTGGTCACTGGGAATTAGAAGTAGAGATCTCACGCTAGCGTATGACACGTCGTCTACGAGATTCGCGGTCGAGCTTGNATATATTCCTTGGTTGCGAGAGGTATTTGGTGAAGGTTCAGAGAGATTCGTTGAGTGACAAAGAGTGAAGGCGTGACCAGATGCCGTGATGGTTTGATGAGCACTGGCACGCCCCCGATTAATACTATACTTTTCAACACGTTTTCAACACGTTTCTACCCATCCACGCTCCGCCATGAGCCACCCGCTTTGAGCTCCAACCACAAAGAATCGAGCCACCCGAATTATCGATCACGCTAGCGTATGACACGTCGTCTACGAGATTCGCGGTCGAGCTTGGAANCGTGGCAGGACCTCGGCGAAAAGCGAGACTTGACCCAAGACTGACGTTTTCCGACTAGATCGCAGAGAAAAATAGTCCGAGGCATCACTCAGCCAAGAAGCGAGGTTGACCCAGAAACTAAATTCCCGACTAGATCGTAGAGGACAGCAATAAGAGGCAGTACTCAGCATGACGCGGAGCAAGATCCACCAAATGCGTTCCTCCGAAGAGATCACTCAAGACCATTTCAGTGGCACAACACGAACTTTGAAGTTTCACGGCGTGAGCAGAAGAGAAATTTTGGATGTCCAACTGTATTTTATTTTGTTTTGGTACAGCAGTCACCCCTGTGCAGAACCGGGGGGAGTGTTGTGGAATATTGAATGTGATTCTCCTCAGGAGTGCTGTTTCATAAGGAACTGATCGTGCCACCATCTTCCCTTCCGAACGCGCGACCTGCCCTCCACCGCTGCCGAGTCAATCCTTCTGGAGCGACAATTGTGGTCTCCCCCAACGAAGGCGGACGATTTGCTGACGATGCTCCAGCCGCGGCCAGCCGGACGAAGAGCACAGAAGGCGACCGCGGCGGAGGCGAGCGAAAATCCGCGGGGGAGAAACAATGGCAGGGGCAGTGGTCCAATGCGCTGGGGTTTATGGCTGGAAAAGTAGGCGCATTGAGGTTCATCTTGAATTTGAGTTAGTTTGAGATTTGGCGTTTGTTTTGTTTGATTTGAGCTTGGGTTTGGTTTTTCAGATCTGATTGAAGTGTGGATGAGAGGATCAGAAGTACTGTTATGATTTTCGGCACCTCTCGTATTGTTTTTCGGCTTGACTCCGACCCCTTTACAAAGCAGGGGGGCGGATCCTCGGAGCAGGGGGGCACGTTATATTCTTTAAAACGAAACGGCGTTGCTGACATTGCTTCACCGAACATGAATGATATATTTTGAGTATTTCAGAGAGATAGTACTTGTTCGCGTTTTACCTGCGGACGAAGGTTTGGTGGATGACTGGAATATTTTGTCTTAGGATTGCATACATCTTGGTAATGGTAGGATATCTAGCTAGGCGGATTTAGAGGCGCACCGAGATATTGTGACGAATTGGCGGTGAAAGGAAAGGCGTCTTTGAACGGCGTTCGTTATATTTTTCTGGATGAAAAGAGTTTGAGTTGAGAATTTTCAGAAGAGAGCGAGAGTGATTGGGGTGTGTTGGTATGCTATTTGGATACTTTTGTCGTGTCTGAAGTATTTTCGTTTTCTTTGTTTTGATTGTGTTTTGGGATGAACTGGTATGAGAAGGATGACTATGATATTTTCCCGGAGCATGACGATGCATACGAGCAGGGGGGCTTTTCGATATACTCGTAGCATAGCATGCGGGTGGTATATCGCGTATACATATGCTGGTATTGCAGTGACGAACTACGGAGGAACAAGAAGTTTCTTTATGTTTTCCTTGGGGAGCGTGGTAGATTGGTGGACATTCATGGAGATTCGTTTTGGGTGTTTGAGCGTTATGCGTGACTTGATGCCGTGATGGAATGACGAGCTCAAGCACGCCCCCGATGAATACAACACGGATACAACACGTTTTCCAGCACGTCTGTACGACTTTACCTACCCCTACGGCCCGTCATGCCGAGCTGCTCTACACTCCCATCACACACAACTGAGCCACCCGAATTATCGATCAACCTCACCAAAGAATCCAAGGATAAGGAGGGTCTGCACGTGTACGGAATGTTGAAAGAAGGAATAGGTTCAAGGGGTACCTTCTTCATGGACCAATGGATGTAGGGACATAGCTGAAAGTCAAAGTTAGGACTGGGGACATTTGCGTTCGAGAACCTAGACGAAGATTTGGGAACGTAGACGATGAAGACGACAATTCTACATGCGAATGCGCCCCCGAGTGCGAAGACCATGTTCATGTAGTTGCGGAATGTCCGTTGTACGAGGGGAGGGAAACGCACATGATGAGTGAGCTAGGAAATGTAGAAGGAAAAGGTACGAAACATGTTTTGAGACATGGAATAGCCAGGAGAAGATGGTAGCTGTACTGGGGCATAAGAAATGGGTTGAAAAGGCGGGAACTGATATCGATAGAATATATAGACTAGGGACAACATTTTTGAGCCACCACTTTGGCAAAGTAGGATCAAACGATTTGCCATCAGTGATCGGTCCTGTGGGAACAAGGCTGCGTCCTGTCGAGGACGCGTGGTCAATGGTCTATCCGCTAAGGCATCCAAAACAAGAGAGAGAGAGAGAGAGAGAGAGAGAGAGAGAGAGTACGCACCCCCTTCGTATCCAACTCCTACGATCGGGAAGAGGCGTAAGGAAGCTAATGGCAAGAAGTAACGTACGGTGTACGATATGGGAGAGGGGGGGTTGCCGAGAGAAGCTCGGGAGGCGAAGAGGACAAACAAGATTAGGGGTAAACATCCCAGGGAGTGGATTAAGGTTGTAGACGGCGAATGGAATAGTTCGAAGTCGATGAAGTTGATACATTGGAAACGAACGGTAGGCATCGGGTTCATTGGAAACGAATGACNCCAACTCCTACGATCGGGAAGAGGCGTAAGGAAGCTAATGGCAAGAAGTAACGTACGGTGTACGATATGGGAGAGGGGGGGTTGCCGAGAGAAGCTCGGGAGGCGAAGAGGACAAACAAGATTAGGGGTAAACATCCCAGGGAGTGGATTAAGGTTGTAGACGGCGAATGGAATAGTTCGAAGTCGATGAAGTTGATACATTGGAAACGAACGGTAGGCATCGGGTTCATTGGAAACGAATGACAGGTCTATAGGGGTTCGAGAACAAGAAATCTGCTACTTTGCCGAGAGAGAACACAATCTGGCAAAAGGATCCAAGGATAAGGAGGGTCTNAATGGACCCCAAGGGTCAGCAGAGCGATAAAATACAAGAAAACAAAATATAATCAGAAACAAATAAAATAAAATAAAATAAATAATTAGACTAGTGGAACGGCCGCACCACCAGCCTGGGGGGGTAGCCTCCCACTACATGGAGGCAGGTCGACGGCCAAAGGAAGGGGCGGGGGTACGTGCCAGTAAAAAACAAAAGACAAAATAAAACAGAATAAAGCAAAGACGAGGACACAAACAAACTCGCACAGAGACAGGGATATCCCTAGAGACAGTCTGAACGCGACAGCAAACGGGGGTGTACGGATATTGAAAGAAGGAATAGGTACTTACATGGACCAATGGATGAGGGGCAAAACCGAAGGTCAAAATTAGGACTGGGGCCAACTGCC